AAACTCTGGCGCCGAATCATTTCAATGTATTGTTGGTATAATATACTAAAACAGATATTCTCATCAGTTGGGGGGGACTTTAGAATCAAAAATAATAATTTCCTATTTGAAAAAAAATCATTCCTATTTGATATATTTCTTTTGATGTGATAACGTTGTATCAAATTGAGCTAATCCTCGCAGTATATGAAGCAACTTATGCAGCTGCAAATTGAAAGACTCAGAAAAAATTCTGAGTCTTGAACGGGATTTGAACCCGTGCCCTGGCGATTCCGGAATACATTACAACCGCAGTACAAATACATATTTCATATATATTCTCATACACATATGATAACGTTGTTTAAATTTGAGGTTAATTGTTTTTTCTTTTTATTCACATTCGCCTCCCATCCCTAGGGCTATGCAGCAGCCTGAAGCTACATAGTTCTCCGGGTGGAAATTGCGATAATGATGWCTATTATAACCTTATCGCCAAAGGCAATTACACCCACATCAATAGCATATTTTTTGTTTTGTTTATCTGAGGGGCAAGGATTCCTATTAGAAAACCAGCCCTCCGGTTTGGACTGGAAGGCTAAGCTAGCCATAAAACTTGAATACACATGCAGGAATGATAAGAAGTGAAAGCAAAGGTTAAAAGACCTTTTTTAGTTATATATACATACACCTACGGCGAAAAAGGATTGTCCAAGCAAATGATGTAGAGAATGGTGTATAATAGGATTTGAAACTTAAGCCAAAGTAGATAAAATTATTTTGAATTTATAGAAAATAAGATATGTTGACTACTATAGGTAAACATCTTGTTTGAAGGAGACGTTCAACTTATTACAATAGACTCTTTTAGCTTTCGTATATTAAATGATTACCCATTTCAGACCAGGTGTCATTCCCTCGAGAATCCTTTGTTTGAGTTGTATCCATATTCATGTGTCTTCTCATGTGCAACTGAGCGCAAACCTTAAACAAAGAAATGATACTCTAGGGAATGACATGTGGTCTGAAATGGGAAAACATTACGTCAGAGCCGAAGAGGTCTATTGTTTCTCCTGATTTCTTTAGATATTGTTTTCACGCACAGGCGTAGTGATGAGTATATCTATTTATATATGAACGGGTTAGATTCCATTCAGATGTCGAACTTTGAAATAAAGGCATGTGGGATGTATGATAAATAGAACGCCTTTTCTGATGTCGTTTTCTTTCCTTTCTTTTCCTTTCCTTTCTTTGCTTTTCTTTATTTGTTTCCTTCCTTTCCTTTCTTTCTTTCTTTCTTTTCTTTCATTTCTTTTCTTTCCTTTCCTTTCTTTTCCTTTCCTCAGTTTTTCATTTCATTTCTTTTATTTTCTTCCCTTTTCTTTCCTTACCTCATCTTACCTTCTTTTTTCCTCGTACCTTTTCCTTCCCCTTTTTTCCCCTTCTCTCTTTTCTTTCCCTCTCCTAAGCGGGCACTAAAGCAAGTTCCTCAAAAAAGTCCAAACATTAGAAAGCGATTAAAAGGTACTCACATGACATGACGAGAATCCATCAAAAAAACATTCGCGTGCTCAAACAACTCACCGTCTTAACTTTGACGTGTTTAAAACAACAAGAACAATCGCAACAAGGTCAAAAGCACGCCAATTCTCCCAGTTATGTTCGATGAATGATCAATAAACGGTCCTACAAAAGTCTATCTAGATATGCCAAGCGTGATAACTTCAATAGCTTTTCTAACCTGAAACAATACGACCTTTAACACGAGTCGCGACATACAAAAATAAACGACGACTGTAGAATCCTTAAASGAGGTTATCTTGAAGCGAAACGTGACATAATGATGTCCGCGAATTGCTTTTTCTGACTCCGCATTTGGAARAATCTGTCCTGTTTACAAATTTCAAACGTTGCGCGAAAGATAAAGAAACTATGAACGGCTMTATGTGGGCGGATGTATACTATAAAACCGGAGGTTTAATCAACGCCTTCATAATTCGGATGTTATGACCAAAACGTGTTTTTCTATCAGGATAGTGAGCAACAGACTAAGCTARCACAGACTTTGTCAAAGTTCCTATTTTGCGCTTTTTTGCCACTCGTCGCTACGACACTTGCCTCACGTTTCGCACTCACCTCWAGTGAGCAAGCGATGCGATATGGGCGTTGCGACACAAGTTGCATGGAGCATTGCACCGTGTAACCTACAGAGCAATTTGAAAAATGTTGCAAGACAAGTTGCAGAGWAAATTACTCCTTGTARTCGGGTCTTTACTCTTTCAAGAGTCATCTATKGTCAACTTTAGTCTTCCACTCACTCACATCTCTAAACGATAGGTCTTAGTTCACAAGTGTCCCATTTTGTTGCAAATGGTGATAGAAAACTTTATAAACTGATACGCCAACGAAAAGACTCCGTACCATTTTTGAATCCAAAAACAAAAAACAAAAACGTACCAGCACGCCTCTTATCCTTCATCATTCATCCAAAAGCATTTCCAGTTTTTCAAAGGTTTGAAATCCCTGTTTAATTTCAACCCAAACCCGACGTTTTTAGTGACCTACGTTGCACCAAAACGTATCCTATTATCGTACGACTATGATACGATCAAGAGCTCCGTTACCATACAACTCGAAATTATAATGGCATAAAATCTTATTATAAACTTCATGAGATACGAAAGATTTGATATACAAAATTTAAGAAAGTGATGGCRGATTTATTTTTATTTTTATTTTGAAAATTGTTTGAAAATCTCAAGGTATTTCAGTTTTCGGCGTCTATTTGTTCAAGTATCAAAGGTTCTTGCTATCCCTTCCTGCTAAGTAGCCTGAAATCTATCCAAGCAGCCAAGGACGGAATGAAAAAACCGTACCCAAATCCGCTTAGCGCACTTTATATCATAAGATAATACACTGACCACATTGACTACTGACTTTGTCATAGATGAAGAGGTTAGTTAGACGGCGTATAGTACGTGCTACAATAGCTTGATCCACTGATTTGTCTTACTCCGCACGAAAGCAGCAATTATGGTAGCTCTTTTTCAGCGGTTCCTCTTTGGAAACGTTTTTACACGGCTATAATTTAAACCCCTATTATGCAGTGTGGTAAAAAGATCACATTTGTTTAAGTTTACAAGGTAAACTATTTTACAACGTTGATAAACATTTAGTCAGTTGTTAAATCCTGTTGTAAAGTTGATAGTCATAACATACCTTCAAATGTCCCGAAAGAAGAGTGTGTTCGTCCTGATTCCAGACCCAAAACAGGAACTTAGAAGTCTTCCAGTACTCTAGAACGGAATGACAGTCACCAACAAAGTAAATAAACTTGAAGAACCAGACAGCAAGTTTACACAACTAATTCTTTTTTTGTAAAGATGAATTAAAGTTTAGCAGAGCTAGGTGTACATCCACAGTGCGAGAGCTTACTGGATCAGACGAGGAGTGTGTTTWTTTGTCGCTCACGACAGCGTACTCCTCAAGCTAATCTCTATGAGCCACCGAGAAGAACTTAAGAGCAAGCCAAAGCCAGTAGATTTGTAGACTATTTATAGCTGTCCATATCTAGGAGTGAGTGAGAGGATAGAAGGTGCCTAATTACCTAATCTCTTCTCCTCAACACGCGATTTAATGGCTCATAATTCTGGATCTTTACGTTGAGTTGGTTTTGTGAATTCCTTAAAATGACCTCACTGCATCTAAAATCAACACRCAAAATTGAAGCTCAACCAAGAAAATCGTTCCTCTGCCCTATGGGGTCATACTTCATGTCAATTTGTGTATCTTTCCTATAGAAAAGAGAATTGAATTTACATCATCCCACGACGTATCGTTCGAGGTGGATCGTGTCGTTGCGTATCGAATACGGAAGTTCTGCAAGCTAAATTGTTTTTGTTGCGGCTACTACGACTTGCCAACCCTATGGAGTTATCGTTACGAACACTTTGGAAAAGATTATGATCTTAGAGTCCAGATGAATAGGTCTTTTGACAATAAGCTATTTTGAAAACCAATAAACCAGCCTGAAGATTACTAAAGTAATGAAGACGTTTCGAGATTAAATTCATTGGCATCCGTCAAGCCCTCATTTTACTTCAACTATTTTGACAGCAAAGTAAAAAGTGTGCACAAGAATACAAACAAAACACGGAACAAACAAATTGATAACGAGATTACGTTTGACACTTTGGAAGCTATTCAGTCCTCGATTGTAATTATGGGCTATGGTTTAATCACGTGGGTTTTCCTTTGAGGTCCGAAATTTCGTATATCTGTGCAGATTTATATTGGGAGTGTATTGTTTTGCTTTATGGAATCCAGTGAACTTTTCGAGATTATTGAGATTATGCCTGACGCATTCTGATAAAAATATTTGTACGAGATTAGGATCCAGAATTAGTATCCCCAGATTAAAATTATTATTACCCCTTAATACGAGTTATTGGTCTAAAACACTTGAAGGAATGTAGATAACCTATAAAAAACGTGCTTAGCGTAATGTAAACTCTGCTCAAATCTATTATACACTGTACTCAACTCTTTAACTTCGGATTGGTAAAGTAAATTAAACTTGGTTATTGTTTGGGTTTGTTTTGGGTGGAGTTGGCATGACCCATGTTTTTTAACCCACCTTGTTGCTAGCTGTTATGTCACGGTCAATGAAATCTAGTCTCTTGTGCATGAAATATTTCAGATATGATTGTTATGGAGTCTGTGAGACGTACTATTTTATTTAATGAAGAGATTCTTCAATAAACCATGTCAGTAATATATACATATATATGTAGACTATTATGATACTGATCGTTACCATTACTGTTACCAATGCTTGGCCCTGTCCTGGGGTCCAATGCTACGATGAAKATATTCTATGATAAACCCCGCTATTATATACACATATAGATTATATGCCGAAAAACTGATCGTTATACTGTTACTGTTGTCGATTCTTGGCCCTTGTCCGGGGGTCTAGTGCTACAATGAAGATATTTTATGATATACCACGCTCTATACATTATATAAATAGCCTGTTAAAATGGACGTGGCGCTAAGCAAAAATAAAGAAAACAAAAAAACAAAAGCAAAATAAAAAAATTAGTCTCTGCCGTTCTTCTCATATAATATCACATAAAATATAAAAGCAGTCTAATGTCTAATAAGAACTAAAAGTCATTTACAAGGACATTATTTACTCATTACTRTGCAAACTTACTGCAACTTCAAATGACATTCTTACCATACAGAGTATCGCTAAAATTGTTTTGGACGACTTTTCGTATACTTAGTTTCAGGAAGACAAAATAAAATGAATCTGATCTATAGTATAAAAATAAAGATGTAGTTCTTTTTTATCGAAGCTGAACGAGTGACGTGGCTAAAATACATTTTTTGGAAACATCCAGCCATTTTGTCTAACCAAGCATATTTGGGGAACTAACTATGTTTGGCTAAATGACCATTTAATTAGTAGGCTGACTGGCCATATTYGTCTAATATCAACCTTAGTCTTAAACCATGGCTCATGGTCCACGAATCACGAATCCTGCGCTCTGATTGGCTGAGTAGCAAAWACTACCCGACTTGAAAACCATGGCGACGAACTTGCATTTTCAACCCAATTTAAAACAGATTGTTTAAAAACAAGTTTTTGAACGACTATTAGGTTTAGACTAAAGTGGGATTACACCTATGGCCTCATCAGTTGATAGTCTACGAGTTAATAGATCATTCGGGCTTCTGGTCTAATTATTAAATATATGGCTAAATGACCATATTTGGATAACGAACCATATTTGGCTAAAATACCATATTTGGATAACTAACCATACTTGGCTAAAAACCATATTTGGATAGCTAACCTTATTTGGTAAACTGACCAAATTTAAATAACGGACTATATTTTGCAATTTGTCACAACTTTAAAATATACCTTTACAGCTTTGAGTCGCTGAAGATTTTAATTTTGTCACATATGGAGTCGATTAAAGATAGCAACTATGATTTTTATTCAAGATTTCTCCAGTTAAAACTTTTCCAATTAACAGCTAATGGGTTTGCCTGATATACAAGAGATTTACCGAAGGCACAAATGACCTCTTGTCTGAATCTGATACGTGATGGAAAACAGTAGACTATTTGCAGTGAAAATAATATAAGGGCTTGTGATTCAATGGCACTTTCTTCTGTAAAAGATAAGAAAATGAAGYCGTTGTGAAGTGAATTGAGCCATGCCTTGTAAGACATGTAAGGTCAGAGCCTTGTGCTTGTTCTCTTCATGAAGGCTATTTCGGGCAAGTACAATCATAAACATATACTCCGCGATGGTGGTTTGATTACAATGAGAGTATGTTTTAATGATCTTCTATATTGTTGTATATGCAAAGGTGGTCCAAAACCAAACAAAGATTTGTCAAATCGAGTCAAAGTACAATTGAAATGTTCTTTTTTATTTGGATTGTAAAGTGGATCTAGTGAAAACAAAGGAACACTATTATTTTATGTTATTACATAATTGTATGTGAGGTCCATTCTTAAGGCGATGGAGGGTTGCTTTTATATCGTACATTATTGTTTGCGTAAGGTTGGTTCTAAAAACTAACATGCAAAAACGATCAGTTCTATCCATACTCTGAAACAGCCTCTGCGCTGATCAAAATCAGGGGACGGCTAAATCACATGTCGAACCCTGAAACAACCTCTGGGCTGATCAAAGTCAGGGCATGGCTAACTCACAGAT